ATTATACCAAAGGCAACTTCTTAAAATCTCAACATCAGGCTGTGGAGAGCCAGACACAGCACAAATGCTATGAAACCTGTCCATTGTGATGATAAGCTCAGTTATTTAGACAAATAGTGAGTTGTTTGGGGTCTTACTTTTTATTAGGCTGCTTATCCAAAATCAGGATAATGGGACAAATTTTCCTATTTTTTCACAGTAGTTATGGAGGCTTTGCTGTATTAACATGTTAAAAATAAAGCACACTTGCTTCAACGTTTTTACCCAAAATTCTTCTCTGTGGATATCTTTGTTTATTAATCAAATTTATATAGCAGCTCATTTCATGAGAAGTAACTCTGGGAGGGTTACAATATGTTGATGAATGTCACTATTAAAAATTTTGGAAAATGTTTGTCTTTGACATTATCATGGCACCCAGTGCTATATAACTAATTTTAACTTTTTTTTTTTTTTTTGCTGAGGAACCTGAATTCCTGGAGAAAGTTAGGTGTTTGAGGATTGAGGTCACTGATAAATGACTTTGATGAGGGAATAGAAGGGGAACGTATGAAATTTGCGGATGATACTAAGCAGGGGCGGGTTCCAAATCCTGTCGGTACCGGTTCGCACATGTGTGCTCGTGCGCGCTCACGGGTGCACATGTGCTGTGCTTCTGCGCATGCGCAGAAGCATTCTGGCAGGTGGGCGGAGCCTCCCACCACCGCTGCCACCGGTTCTCCCAATCCAGTGCAAACCAATAGCAACCCACCACTGATACTAAACTGGCAGGATTAGCCAACATAGGCTCAAGATCCAGATGGATCTTGACAGACTTGAACACTGGGCCCTATCTAACAAAATGAAATTTCTCTACTTTATGTAGAGAAAAGTAAAGTCTTACACTTAGGTAAGAAAAACCAAAAGTACACATATAGATTGGGTGAAACCAGGCTTAATAGCAGTAACTGTGAGAGGGATCTTTGAGTCTTAGTGGACAACCAATTAAATATGAGCCAACAGTGGATGGCGGCAGCCAAAAAAGCAAATGCAATCCTAAATTGCCTTAACAGAGGGATACAATCAAATTCAAGTGAGGTACAAATACCATTCTATAAAGCCTTAACAAGACCACACCTAGAATATTGCATCCAGATTTGGTCACCACACTATAAAAAAGTTGAGACTCTAGAAAGAGTGCAGAGAAAAGCAACCAAGATGATTAGGGTGGCAGGTCTGAAGGCCTAATACAAAAGATTGTGATGGACTTGTGGGTGCTGGGCAGGGACTTTAACTTTTCTTTGGGTGGGGAAAACCTGGAAACTTTCAGATTCAATTTTACCCCAGATGTGCCAATATGACATCTCTAATGAAATGTAACTTTGAGGAAACTCAAACCTTGGAGTTTTCTTTCATTGGGGGTGTTACTTGGAACCTTGACATTGGGCACTGGAGGCTAAAAGATATGATGATACAGGAACTGGGCATGGCTAGTCTAGTGAAGAGAAGGACCAGGGGAGACATGATAGCAGTCTTCCAATATTTGAGGGGTTGCCACAGAGAGGAAGGGGTCAAGTTATTTTCCAAAGAACCTGAAGGCCAAACAATAATGGATGGAAACTGATCAAGGAGAGATTCAACCTAGGAATAAGGAGAATTTTTCTGACAATGGGAACAATCAACCAATGGAACAGAAGTTGCCTTCAGAAGTTGTGGGAGCTTCATTACTGGAAGCTTTCAAGAAGAGACTGGACTGCCATCTGTCAGAAATGGTGTACGATCTCCTGCTTGGGCAGAGTGGGAGTTGGGGGGGTTGGACTAGATGACCTACAAGGTACCTTCCAGCTCTATTCTGATTGATTGATTGATTGATTGATTGATTGATTGATTGATAGATAGATAGATAGATATAGGCCAATGTAGGTTGCCTCTAGTCTAGGCCATTACCCATTGATATATACTTCTGTGCTTCTTTAAGGAGAGCATAGGGAGCATTATTTGAATGAGACTGAATGGTTATATGCAAATAGGAGATAACTTATTCATACATTTATACAGGTAATCCTCACTTAATGTCCACTAGTTCAGTGACTGTTCAAAGATACAGTGGCACTGACTGAGGGGTACGTAGGACAGGTCCTCGTTGTGACTGTTGCATGGTCACATGATGATGATTCAGGCATTTAGCAACCAGCTTGCAGATATGATGTTGCAGCATCTTGCAGTTATGTGATCATCATTTGCAGCTTTCTCTGCTGGCTTCTAACAAGCAAATTCAATGGGGAAGCCAGCAGAAGGGCGCAAATGGTGATTATGTGACCACTGGGACATTGCCACTATGCAGAATTGGCTTAATAATGGCAAAGGAGACCACTGGAGCTGTGGTCATAAATAAGCATGATCATGTGGCATTATGCCTTAGACCATGTTGCTTAGTGTTGGAGTTTATGGTCCCAATGACTGTCCATATGCGGAGACTAGCTGTATAGTGTGTATGTAACTGTGTTGCAGACATCCATTTGCTGGATTGATGGAATGGGCAGAATTGATTCCATGTAGAGTTGATAACTCTAGATTAATAAATATTCTAGCATTCTTAGCTCCCAAGAATATTCTTATAGGACAAGCAAAATGGAATGTAATATAATTTACCTAAGTGATAGAGAGGAGGAAGCAAAGTACAATACAATCTCTTCTATACTAGTACAATAATTTTGAATCATCTGAAAAAACCTAATCTATTTATTGCCATCACACAGATACTGCATCATTATTCTGGGTAGGCTTAGCGATGCCACATGTTTATTGGACCCGTGTCCCTCGTGGTTGATGCTGGTCTCCCGGGCGATTACACGAGGCTGGCTCCAGGGGATTATTAATGCTCTTTGAGGGTTTCTTCCCTCCCTCTCTGAAAGAGGCGGTGGTGAAGCCCCTCCTCAAGAAGCCCTCCCTGGACCCGGCTGTATTAGCGAACTATCGTCCAGTCTCCAACCTTGGCTTTGTTGCGAAGGTTGTTGAGAGTATGGTGGCGCGACAACTTCCCCAGTACCTGGATGAAGCTGTCTATCTAGATCCGTTCCAGTTGGGCTTCAGGCCGGGGTATAGCACGGAAACGGCATTGGTCACATTGGTTGATGATCTCTGGAGGGCTCGGGACAGGGGCTGCTCCTCTGTCCTGGTCTTATTAGACCTCTCAGTGGCTTTTGATACCATCGACCATGGTATCATGCTGCGACGATTGGAGGGATTGGGAGTGGGGGACACCGTGTTGCGGTGGGTTCTCCTCCTTCCTCTCCGACCGTACGCAGTTTGTGTTGGCAGGGGGACAGAGGTCGACCTCGAGGCGCTTTGTTTGTGGGGTGCCACCAGGCTCAGTCCTCTCGCCCCTTCTGTTCAACATTTATGTGAAGCCGCTGGGTGAGATCATCCGTGGTTTCGGGGTAAATTTCCACCAGTACGCTGACAACACCCAGCTGTACATCTCCATCCCGGACCAGCCCAATGATGCCCTGGACGTGATATCCCAGTGCCTGGAGGCCGTGTGGATCTGGATGGGGAGAAACAAGCTCAGACTCAACTCTTCCAAGACCGAGTGGCTGTGGTTCCCGGCGTCCTGGTATAGTCAGCTGGTTCCATCGCTGACTATTGGGGGCGAGATCTTGTCCCCCTCAGAGTGGGTTCGCAACTTGCGTGTTCTCCTGGATGCACTGCTGTCTTTGGAAGATCATATGACGGCCGTGGCCAGGGGAGCTTTTTATCAGGTTCGCCTGATCCGCCAGTTGCGTCCCTTTCTGGGCTGGGATGTCCTGCGCACGGTCACTCATGCCCTCGTCCCGTCCTGTCTGGACTACTGTAATGCTCTCTATATGGGACTCCCCTTGAAGAGCACTCAGAGGCTCCAACTGGTCCAGAATGCGGCCACGCAGGTGATTATGGGGGTGACACGGCGCACCCATGTAACACCTCTCCTGCGCGAGCTGCACTGGCTCCCGGTGGTCTTCCGGGTGCGATTCAAGGTGTTGGTTACCACCTTTAAAGCGCTCCATGGCTTAGGACCGGGGTATATACGCGATCGCCTTCTGCCACCGATAGCCTCCCATCGGCCAATACACTCCCACAGAGAGGGGCTCCTCAGGGTGCCGTCGGCCAAACAATGTCGACTGGTGACACTCAGGGGGAGAGCCTTCTCTGTGGGGGCACCAGCCCTTTGGAATAAGTTGCCCCTAGAGGTTCGTATGATCCCCGACCTGCGTACCTTTTGCCGCGCCCTGAAGACTCTTTTATTCCAACAAGCCGGGCTGGCCTAATAGGAATTTTAAATTGGGTGTCTGTTAGCTTTTAATTTTGTGGGCCAAATTTTTATATATTTGTTTTTAAATTGTTTTAAATTTTGTAAGTATATATGTGTTTTAAGATGGCTGTACATCGCCCTGAGTCCTTTGGGAGAAGGGCGGTATAGAAGTGTAATAAAATCTAAATCTAAAAATCTAAATCAAACCTGTTATCTCATCTGCAATAATTATATTGGCTGGAAATTAAATTTTAGACCATAGACACCTGGACTTGATTGAGGCATATTGTGTGATTGTGACATTATTACTGAACATATTGAATGAAGTGGAAAAAACTTGTGATATGAACCCAGCCACTTACTGTATTCTCCCACAATTTATAGTACTCTTTTTGTTCCCTTTCAGTTATTTCTTGGAGAATAAAGTAGATTTCTCTTGAGATGAAAGCTTTACCAGAATTTTATTTTAGTGTATTTTTGTATTTGAGAGTTGTCCAGCATAAGTGTTTGCTTTCGTCATCCAGAGATTGGATGTTGTGTTCAATGCACAAACTTTGCATATTCCTGAACTGAGAAATAGTTTACATTTATACTGTCACCATGTCTTTTTTGAAATATTATTAACTGATTATTTTTGTTCAGGGTAGGTTTGTCAGAGAAAATTATTTATTCCCATTTTTTGCTTAGCATCATCTTTACTGTATTTTTTTCTTCTTCTCTGCACTCCCAGGGCAGAGTTTAGGCTACGGCTTTGTCAACTATGTTGATTCCAATGATGCTGACAAAGCAATCAACACCTTGAATGGACTCAAACTGCAGACAAAAACAATCAAGGTGAGGAGCACGGGATGTGAGGGAAAACTCCTCTTAAAGGCAGAGCAGAGCTCAGGAGGGACAGGAACTCTCTATTTTTGTGCCCAATCATGTCTAACCCACTGTGAACCTGGTATAATGGATTGGGCTGAAAGAGAATGATTGGCCCAAAGTCACCCAATTGGCAAGCCTAGAACTCAGAATCTCCTAGCTTTTATGCCAGTACTTTCACTACTACACCAAATTGAGTCCCCAGTGGTGAAATCCTCCACAGTTTGCCAGTGGCTCACTGCCCGCACATGCGCGGTGCGTGCCAAACACACGTGTGCACACATGCTTGGTACACTCCAAACACATGCTGTGCACATGCGCATGCACAGTGCACACCAAACATGTGCTTTGTGCAGAAAAAGGATGGTTAAGAAGGTAAGTAGAACAGTGAGGGGGGAAAAGCTCTGCCACGCAATTTAGTTTCGCTAGAAAGCAGGATTTCCTGCTTTCTAGCGAATATAAATTGTGCAGCACAGCTGATCGTCAAAAATACTGGTTTGGACAAAACGGTAGCATTATTTTACTACCAGTTCACCTGAACTGGTAGCTTTTATTACTACCGGTTCGCCCGAACTGGTGTGAACCGGTAGCATTTCAGCCCTGTGGCTCCCCCTCTACACCTTTAAAGAACTACATCTTTAATCTTCTGGGACTGTGGCTCATTTGGAGTTTTGAGAATACAGCATAGGCATAGTTTATTACATAACATTGATTGATGGTAACACTTTGCTTTTTGGCCCCAAAGGGGGTGGTTTTTGTTTTTGTTTTTTACTATCCCTACTTACTATGGGCACACTTTCCCACCAAACACTGGGCTGCAGCCTTACTTCACTTTTATTTTCAAAGAGTTTCCTGCGGCCCAATGTGCTCCATGGAAAGAGGGGTGGTGCTAGAAGCTAGCTCTTTGCTGTCTGCCAGTTTCTAATTTTGTAATTAGAAGATTTTATTTTCTAAATATACACAGGGACATTGCCATTTCCTTCCCAAATGCTCACGGAAAAAATGATTTCTGCCCTACAGAGCCCACAGTTAAGAGTTTGCAGAAAAAGGCTTGTAGAGAAAGGAAATAGAGGTAAAGAAAAGGTACCAATAAATAGGAATCTTGGCTCCCCTTCAAAGAAAGTGTTGCTTGTTTTGTTTTATGATAGAAGGTTGCTTCTTTTGATGTGAGAATAGAATTCAGAAGATTGTTCTTTGCTTCTTTCTCGATGGCTCTTGTAACTACGCCCTTCTTCCCACCAGGTGTCCTACGCACGGCCGAGCTCTGCTTCTATCCGTGATGCCAATCTCTATGTCAGTGGCCTGCCCAAAACCATGAGCCAGAAAGAGATGGAGCAGCTCTTCTCACAGTATGGACGCATCATCACCTCCCGCATCCTTGTGGATCAGGTCACAGGTAACACAAGAGCAGGGATTTTACTCCACACTGGTGCCAGTGTTAAGAGTTGAGTGCCAGGGGATATAAAGCAGGGAGCAGGGCAGTGTAAGAAAGCAGGCTATGTTACACATTGAAGGTTATGCATGTATTTGTAAGTATTGTTACTTACCCGTATGTAAAATAAATAATTACTTTCTATGATACTGTTTGTATTAAGTCATGTGCTCAAATGTATATATTTTATTGCTGATGTGTATCTCTCTGTTATATATGAATCACTCTTACTTCTGCAGTGACAAGCAAAGAACTCTGCCAGATAGTTCTCATTTTAGAAATAAATGAAAACTATCATTCATAATGTCACAGAGAAACTTCTAAATTCTATATGTGCCCAAAAACATTTAAATATGTTCCTAGACTGAGCTTTGACTCAGCTGAGTCGACTTGTTTTGGAACCACTGAGCAAAATAGGTTGTGGTTCCCACTCAAGCTAGGAAAAACAAAAGAAAAGAAAGGAAATGCCTAAGAGTAGCAATTGATCTATAAAGATTGCCGAATGCATTGCAAACAGTTGTCTTCCTCTGGAAAATTAAAATCAGTAACAATGTTCAACATTACAACCAATTTCAGCTACTCTGCTTTAGCTAGGAGACATTGTTGCCTAAACAATCAGAATATGCAGTAATCAGCATTAATTCCCCCGTTTTTCCATTTGTAGGTGTGTCTAGAGGTGTGGGATTCATCCGCTTTGACAAGAGGATAGAAGCTGAGGAAGCCATCAAGGGGCTGAATGGACAGAAACCGCTGGGTGCTAGTGAGCCCATCACAGTCAAATTTGCCAATAATCCCAGCCAGAAGACAGGGCAAGCATTACTCACACACCTGTATCAGACTACAGCCCGGCGGTACACAGGGCCTTTACATCACCAAACTCAGCGATTCAGGTGAGACAAGTTGCCCTCTCCTTTGTTGGAAGGCTGAGTGGTCAGGTCTTCTCCTCACCCAGTGCCTTGTAGCTGTTGTCCCTCTGCTTAAGGGAGCTGTAGTTTTCAGATCCCATACTTGGAGACATTCATCTTTAGTCTATCCTATCTGGGTACCATTAGTCCACAAACAAATACAATAGGAAATGCTTTCGTTTCCTTCTACAGCCCCATGGCAGAATCATACCAGTTGCTTCTTAACAAAACGTTTCTTGCAAAAAATAATCCATGGGGCTTGGGTCAGAGAAACAGTTCTCATGCTGCAGACTCTTCCTTAAGATACATTGGCTCTCTTTCTTTTCTTGATAAAGCCTTATATTTACAGCTGATGGCCACAAAACAGTGCAAAAGGAGAGAAATGGTTCTTCCCTGTAAAAGGGAAGGACAAAACTCTTTCTATGCTTTACTTAGTCTGCAAAGATTTCGTTTTTATGAGGAGTCCTCTGGGTGGCTAGGCTGCTGCAAGGAGGAGTCTGCTGGAACAAATACTCCAAAGGTAGAACAAACATCTGAAAATTGCTTTTGATAAAGGAGAGAGTAGGACAGGTAGTTCTGAGTCAAATAGCTTTTTAATACCTTTAATATCTTTCTCCTAGCAATTTTTGTAGCAGTGACTCTATTGGCCTACCCAAGAATTTCTGGTATTCTAACTCTACTAATGTAACTGGAGATTGAGTTTTAATGTTGAACCTAGAGTGTTGCCAGATTTCTCTTCCATAATTAGAGTGCCACAAAAAAGAACAGTCTGGGCAATGCTATCTGTCAAGGAGGAAGAACCAAGGCTCCTGAAACATTTACCTGTGAATTCGTAGAATCTTTTTCACCCTACAGGTAAACAGAAATAGATTTTGCCCTGCAGAATTCTTTAGCCTATGTTCTGATCAGTTTGGAAGATACTTGAATAACCAGAACAAAAATGGTGTAAAATTCTCACTCATTTTGTTTTGGAATGTCTGCTTGCAGCTTGAAATCTGTGTATATAGCACATATTCAGTATTCAATACTTTCTTCTATGTTTCTCATATATTTTGTGTGCTAGGGTTCTTTCAGACATAATGTTTTCTTTACACAGCAGTATAGAAAAGCTGCCCATTCTATGTAAAGATAATGCAGATGTTTACTTTTCCATTTGTAATCATGGTTTAAACATTGAAATACAACTGGAGAAGTAGATATATTAAATTTTCACTTCTGGTAGTGTGAGGTACATGGATTTACATATCCTTTCCCCATATTCTTGTAGAAAAATAATCATGTGAGATTATCCCTTTTCATGTAACATTGTGTGGCACTCATATGGTATTTCTATTCATCACCCATGGTATCTCCAAGGCTCAGCAGTTGTTCATCCTTCCAATTTATGGTAGCTAGTGGTCCCATTTTATGACTCAGATGAACAACTGAGATGATGTAACACCTCATAGTCTATATTGGTGGCACAATGTTACCTTTTTAGCTATGAGTCTATCATATTTCCTACCCACCAGTATAGGCTTGTGGTACGAAATGCCAAGACTAGAAGCCTCTTCAGGAATGGTCTGAAGCAGGGAGCTATTATGTTACAGATGACTCTTTATGAAATTGTACTTTCCATGGCTAGCTGATGTAACTGTTGAAGGGAGGTCAAGACAGCATGGATGATGGATTTTATTAGGCAGTTCCATACTAGGCAGTACTGCCAAGAATAAGGGATTTTGATATGATATAATTATGCAGGCTGAATTTTGGTAGAAAAGACTGTTAAAAATATCATACTGCTTGTGGAAGAGGACAGAACTAAAACAGTGAGCATTTCTATCCTCTGATTTTTTTAAAAAAATCCATTATAGATGTTTCCTTCTGCTTCTGGAGATTATTACTGCATTGTGAGATGAAATCCAAGGATGTTTATTTCTAAGAGGTTGACCTGGGCTTAGTCTTTTCTGTTCTCAATCTATTGGGAGCTGTAAATGATTTTGTATTGTGTTTTTTGGTGTTTCGGACTTAAGAGACCACAAGACAGAGACAAAGAAAAAAACAATATCTTAACTCATTGTGCATTTTTGTTGCAGCTCATTTTTTCATTTTTCTTTCATATAAAGCATAGGTAATCTACCGTAATTCTCTGGTATGCTAATCGAGAGTTGGTTATCAGTTGTGGCTTAGTTGAAGAGCAAAAACAAAGAATGTCTCATGATCGATTGTTATAACAATCACTTTTACATCAGAGGCAAAGTTGAAATTTCTAAAATCCTGCTGATTGCTATGTATATACTTTTAGGGCTTGCTACCTGCCTGATTATCCTTGCTTGACTTGTCCTGCAAACTCAATAGCTATATAGTTAGAAATATCACTGTGGAAATTTATTGATCCAAATCCTGAGATAGGAACTCATCTCAGACATCTGACTTCCCACACTGTGAATGTGACCAGACACTGTAGAGCAGCAAACTTAGCCCTGATGCAATGCCAGGATTCTGGATTAATATTTTGTGCAGCCAATGTCTATTATCCAGGAGCTGGGAGAGATAATTCCTGAAGAAAACAGCCCCCAAAATGTAAATTTCAGGGGATTCCTTGTAGGCCAATTGAAGGCAAAACAGTTATAACTGTCCTGCCCCTTCTGACTAAATTGTAAGGCATTTTAAAGTAGTGGTCACTATATGTTGAACAGAGTCAGTAAGTATTCTTTGAATTGTATCTTTTGTCTTCTAGTTGTCTGCCAACTAGCTTTGTGTGATAACATGGCTAATTTAACATTCTTCATTGAAGGACTTTAAAAAAAGCAGCTGCTCACAATTGTAAAATATGTTAGTCCAGTTTCTCCTATTTCAATGGGGTACTTCTAAACCTGTGTGTAATGGATTTGGGGATTACCTCTCAGGTAAAATGGTCCATGTTTAATATTATCAGTGAAATTACCATCATGTCTGTCTGGGAGTCAAATAGCTTGCAATTCATGTTCAAATTATTTTGAAAATGCATGTAATGCTTCATTGCATTATATTTGGCTTGATTTGTAGAGACAGAAGACAAAAATAGCAACCCAGCACAAGTATTTCCTCTTTCTTTGTCTAGATGATACTCTAACCATCAAATAATTCTCCAATAGTCTCAAGTTATAGTTATGGATAGATAGAATCCAGGAATCCTATATATAAATCTGCCCCAAAAATCAGAATACTTGATCCAGCAATTATTTTTTACCAGATCTGCTAAAACAGTGGTTCTCAACCTGTGGGTTGGAACCCCTTTGGGGGTCGAACGACCCTTTCACAGGGGTCACCTAAGACCATCGGAAAATACATATTTTCAATGGTCTTAGGAACAATTTTATGGTTGGGGGTCACCACACCATGAGGAACTGTATTAAAGGGTCGCGGCCTTAGGAAGGTTGAGAACCACTGTGCTAAAACAATCTATATTCAGTAGATGTAAATCCATGAAAAAAGGAATTTGCTAGGAATTTAGTTACTTTTCCAATCTGTTTGATGAAGAGCTGTGTATGCCTTGTGTATGTGCATTAAGACTGGGCCGAATGGTAGTTCAGGATCACTTGATTTGAATTTGCTGCTCATGCATTTCTACCCATACATAAACGTCACATATAAAAGCATGGCATCTGCATGGCATATAGTGTAAAATCCATACAAACCCATGGAACATGTGAACATAAGGATTTCTTTTCCCTTTCCCTGTGCCTTGGCTAATTAATTTTACAGTTTTTGGATAAAACCATAATATATGGACCAAAATACTTGAGCCTAGACAATGTAGTTCTGCCATCACACAATTAACTGCTGCACATGGAAAGCAGCAAAATGCCCCAGTTAAAAGGACTGTAATTCTGAGGCAATACTTATAAATCTGTAGTAAAAAAAATGCTACATTGTACAAAGCAAGCAAATATTTCTATTCTTTTAAATGCACAATTTGTGAAAGGAAGCTTTTAAAATATTTTTTCTTTTTACACAAGGTTCCTTGAAGAACTAGAATTCTGGAAAAGCATACAAGTATAGGTGATGAACACTTGAGTTAACATAGGCACAGAGCAATTAGAAATTCAGGAAAGTTAACTGAGAAGGATTAAATTATTTGATTTTGACAGCTGAAAGCTCTAACAACCAAGGCACTTTGAGGTTTTGTCTAGCAACCACAGTCGTTATATATTGCTAAAGAAAGAAAAACCTTTTGATCTTACAGAATAATGGGAATCTTGTTGTACTATAAAGCCAGCATGTAGATCCCATGTCAAGAGAATTACTATATAAAATCTGGGCCACCAAGTGGAAAGGAAAATCCACTGTAAAAACGGGGCTGGGATGCCAAAATGAAACTATAAACATGTTTGCCATGTACGCTTCTATTCTTTATGTGTCTTGTTTTTAAAAGGAATGAGTGTCAGAAACATCCTCATCCTCATTGTGATGTTTGAAATACAACTTTCACCGCCCTTTAGTACTTAATGCCTCCCATTTCCAACACTTTCTAGCATCATGAAAAAATAGATGTGTAAAAATACGTAGAGCACCTGATCCTTGTTATTATTTTTGAACTTCCCTCCCCCAACCAAACTATAAGACACCAGGGACTCAGGATGCGGTTGTGCACACACATTAAATGGCAGATGTGGCAGTGACAGAATCCATGTACTGCCTTTCTGCTGCACTGACAATCAGGTCAGATAACCTCACAGGACCCTTTTGTTACGAGATTGTCTACTAACAATGGCCTCTCCTCATCTTCCTCTTCCTCCCACAGGCTCGACAATTTGCTAAACATGGCATACGGCGTCAAGAGGTAAATAGCCTTCCAAAGCCTACGCTCCTCGCCCCCTCCTCTTCCCCATCTTGGCTGGATTTTTAAAAGGTGATTGGTCAGGGCAAACCCCGCTCCCCAGCCAAGAACTTCCTTTTCTGCCTTGCCAAGGCCTCCCTGCAACACAGCCATGCTTCCATTTTGTAGAAACCTGAAAGAAGCTGAGGGTTGTGATTGATCAGACCCAGCACTGAGACTTGGAGGGGGCAGAGTCTCCTATAGAGGAGGACCATTTTCTTTCCCAGTTTGAGCCATGTTTAAACCATCACATAGACAACATTTGGTTGCTTGATTCAGTGCTTTTCACTGTATATTGATCTTTTCTTTTTAATCACCCAAAAACCCCAATAACCCTTCCACACTTTCTTCAGTGAAGACGGGAATTGAAAAAGAAAAGCTAAAATCCCTCCAATTTCTGACTTAGGCTGTGGAATTCAAATGTGTGTGTCTTGAGGACGCACCATAGTCTTTCATGTGTTCTTTTGGTTCTGTTTTGGGTTTGGCTGAGAGAAGGGCTTGCTGTTTGCTCAGATGACTGGCTGTTCTTTATGATTTTTGGTCCTGTGTTTCTTAGATTTCATTGTGTTGGGTGCTTCTTGGTTTCATTTAATTCCATTGCTTGTGAGCCAGAAGTTAGTGATTGTTCTAAAAGTATATCAGAAAAGCAATAACCCATTTTGTTTTTCAATTTGTGGGCACCCTTTGAGACCCAAAAGATTATTTATTTGTTTGAACAATGACATTTACCCAGATAACCAACTCTTCCATAGAAAATTTGGCATGGCTTCTGAAACTGTCAGGAGTCTCCTGTCCAGACACATATCCAGTTCATATGTTATTATGTTCAACAGTGCTGTAGCATTGTTTATTTAAACTAAAAATATTCATTGTATCAGACCATACTCTTCATTTTAAGCTGATATTTAAAATATTTGCTGCCTTAGCTTCCTTTGTGGGAGCTCCAGTCTGCCCTGGAGATTCCTGGCAACATTCAGCTGCCTCCTCAGATTTGGCAAAGAAAAGCTGCCCATTCTGTAACTCTGCCCCGATTCAGTCCATATCAACTCCCAACATGACCATTGGGGAGAATTTTTATCAAGGGTATGAAAGCATGCATCTATGTTCAAATTTTGCACTCAAAGATATAAGAGCAGTATCTGATGCCTGCTTACTCAGAAATAAGTCCTACTGAGGTCCATGGGGCTTCCTCCAGTAAGTGTGCACGGGCCTTTAGCAGCAATCAGCTAAATCTGAACACTGATGCTGACTCAGGCAACTTTACTCGGCTAGTTTAGGTTGAGGAAGTAGCTTGACTGAGCCATTATCCCTGTCAGTCACTTTCTGTTTGAAATGTTTGGCTTAGTAGCATGCGAACGAGATACATTGTGCATCTGGAACAAAGTTGATCCAGCTGGGTATGATCCAGAAAGAGGTTTGCACACTGTGTAAAACCATGGTTTATTGAATAAACCACCGTGGCTATGTTTGCCCAACCTTACAAGCCACTTTCTGGACCTAGAACAAAGTTGATTCAGCTGGGTGTAGAAATGGTTTGCACACTGTCCAAAACTATAGTTTATTGAATAACCCATTGTTGTTATGTTTACCCAGCCCTACAAGCCACAGACAAGGAAACTGTATTTAGACTTGGCACAATGTCTAAATCCCGGTAGAGATGGTTTGTCTGAATTAATCCATTAATTTAAGTTATTCAAGAACTTTTTAGTGAAAATTATGTTGCGGTAGACAAGGCATGAGGGGGGGGAAGATTGTGATAGATGGAAGACAGAACAGAAATGTGTGGTGGGCTGTCCCCTGCCATTGTCAGAAGGTTTGCTAAATCTCCATCTGATTTTGGTACTTACGTTGCAATTATACTTTGTTACCTTGAAGTTATCTCAAACTAAGATCTTCATTTTGCAAACAATACACCAGATTCCAATTTCCATCCTTGCAAAAATGATGGTCACAGTTCATTTTATTACAAACCCTTTCATAATATGCTAGTGTATTTATTTAGCTCTCAGGAAGCCCAATAGATAAATCAAATATTTCTTCCATCTTGCAAGCAGAACTAAACTTTAAGAAGAGCCCAAGATAGGGAGAAATATATTTGAAGAATGTGAATTCAAATGTTAGCTTCTGGATTTGTCTTGGCAAATAAAAGAATTATGGAAATAGGATCATACAATTTATGTCAGCTTCCTGGCATAGATAAAATCTTAAGAGAAATTGCCTCTCTGATGAGTTCCCTTTTAAGCTAAGAATGCTAGATGAAAGCGGGCACTGCTCCCTTTTGCTGGGGGTTGTCACCACTGTCCCTAACCTCTCTGTAATGCATTGAATTTATGCTGGCAGAATGCCAGCCTTACACCCAAAGTAGTCCTCTCTCCTTGATCTCCAGGTTCTCTCCTATCACGATCGACAGCATGACCAGTCTGGCAGGAGTCAATTTGACCGGGGCCTCCAGTGCTGGCTGGTGCATCTTTGTGTACAACCTCTCTCCAGAGGCAGATGAGAGCGTCCTCTGGCAGCTCTTTGGGCCCTTTGGAGCTGTCACCAACGTCAAAGTAATCCGCGACTTCACCACCAACAAGTGCAAAGGCTTTGGCTTTGTCACCATGACCAACTATGATGAAGCCGCCATGGCCATCGCCAGCCTCAATGGCTACCGACTGGGTGACCGAATCCTCCAGGTTTCCTTCAAGACCAGTAAGCAACACAAGGCATGAGTGAGCAAATGCGCCAGAGAGATGGGGGGAGGGGGGAGCAACAGTGTGCTGGAAACAGCTCTCTTCCCCAACTCGCCACAAGAACGGAAATGTTCATTGACTCAATGTTGCAGAATATTCAACCGCCAGACACCGTGATCTTTGGGAAGCAGGAGGCTCCTCCCCCTCCTTCTCCCCATGCCCGACAGCCCAGCGGGAAGCACGGATGCAGCAACTTGTCAGCCACTTCTTGAAAATTAAACCCTGTTCTGACAGCATGCAGGGGTGACATCTGCTCAGAATAGGATACCTCTCTTGTTTCTATGCTTGGTGACCCCTCCCTCTTTCAAGGCTTTCTTTCTAACATACATGCCCAGGTCTGAAGCTTTCTCGAGTTGTCCATATATCTTTCCCTCTATGAATTCCACACCTGTATGGTTTCTTTGGTGGACAGTTTTTCTGACCCTGGAGGATGAAAAAAACACTCCCAGTAAGGTGTGATAGAAATGTCCCCTTCATGTTAAAACATTGTGAACCAACAAATCCAAGAAGGTCATGACTGTTACTCTGAGCTAGCCGAGGGGGAGGAATTAAAAAGATTCAGCTCACCACCTTTGTTCTCTTACAATGCAAAAAGAAAGAAAGAAAAAGAACAAATGTGGTTGGAGGAGATTGCACTCATCTCATCTGTTGGTCTAATATGTTAGTAATACAGGTTCTTAATCCCACTGTTTACCTTGGCCCCTAATTAGAATGATGCCATATTTGGGAAAATAAATCTAACCTTTTATGTCTGAAAAGAGGGTACTTCCTATTTGATTCCAGAGAAAACTCATTCCCTGGGAAAAGAAGAACCATTTTACACTTGTATGCTGTAAAATTTGCTGACCAGGTTTTGAATATTTGCTTATTTATTTAACTACTTTACATTGAAATGAAAGTTTGGGCCAGAGTGATGTAAAAAAGGGCAGTCAAGAATTTGGCACAAAGTCCAAGATTTCTAGAGTCTTTATGGCTTCTAATCAGGTTGTAAGGACTAGATAAGTTTCTTACGGGTCAGAAGTAGGGACTTGCTATTTGAGACGTTATGGAGCAGTAAGTTAAACATTTTATTTTTCTTCTTCCCCAAGATGAAATGTTTTTCTTTTGTTGTAAACTGATATTTCATGAAGAATTTATAGAACCAAGCACAGGGGAAGGAAATCAGCCCCAGAGTTGTGATCATTGACAACTGAATAGATTGAAAGGTGTTTTGGGCAAAGGGAAGATGGTTAGTATGGCTGAGGTCTTCCTTTCTCTTTTAAAACAAATAAGTGACCAAACAAGGGGAAAATCATAAATTTTAAAAGGTGAAACTGAAACAAAGAAGAAAACCCAACAAAAATTTTAAAAAAGATTTTAAAAATCTATTTTTATAAAAAAGGAAAAGAGACCTTGCTGGAAATTTTTACTGGGATTCTTGAACTTCATACACAGTCACAATAACAAATTCCAAAGGGGGGGAAACAAACAAGCCACTAAGTGCGATTGCTGTGCATGGTCCAATCATTCCTTCCAGTGGGCCTTTTCAAACAATTAACAAAGATACCACACACCTACAGAGATTGCTAGCAAATCTTTGGCATCACTCCCCATGCACGGAATTAGGATAGGAGTGTTAGTATTGCTGTAAACTGTGTTGTTGGCAGAGTGGGGGCAGGATAGCCAAGGACTGTTGGCTTTTCTAGTTCAAGTTAGAAAGGGTCCATCCCAAAACCAGCATCTTCCTCTTGGTCCATTCCACTCCGCTTAGTAAAAAGTAGGGCAGCTCAGAGGTGGGGCTGAGTTGTCTTCTATATGTAGGATATCTGAGACCAACATAGAGTGGGTCAGTATCCCATGATTTATAGGGCAGCACACAACAAATGAGACACTTTAAAAAGTTACAAAACTCTACCAATTAAAAAGCAGAGGGATGGACACCAGAAGAAAATCAGGTTCTTCAAACCAGGTGTCATGGACACAAGCCCAGAAAAAGTAGCTGTCTCCCTACTCAACATTTTCTCAACAGTAATGTGAAGATGCGGAAACAAGGCATTTTCCTTAAATAGGGAGCATTGCAAAAATCTGTCTACACCATTTAAAACAACTGAGCATCAAGTGCATGTTTTAAACTGTGTATTGGGGGTGGGGGGGTGAGTTGCCTGGAAAGACCTTCAGATTCTTGTGCAAAAGCAACACTTTGTGTCTCAGGTCCCAAAGATTTTAGGTGATTTTGTCCCAACTATCAAAGTCAGGAAATGGAGACAACTCCTTTTATTCTCCTTTTCTTTCTGTTCCTTTTTTCCCTTTGCATTTTTTCTTGTGGGAGGTGAGGAGGGGGTAGAGGGCTATAATAACTTGATTGTATTAGTAGATTTTCAGCACCACCATTATCTCGCTATCCCAAAAACCAAAAGGGCAGAAAACTGACAAAAGTTTCAAAAATAAAAACTGCATGCTTCATCATATAACCACTGCTTTTACTCACATCAACTTCCATAGCTTTCTTTTTCAAAAATATTTTCTACAGGTATTACAAAATTATTCAGCAAGGTTAAAAACTCTCCCAAACCAGGAAATGCAGTTTATGCACAGACCCTGATTTCTGTCTCCATGCACAATCTCTTTAGAAGGCATTGCTCTCTTTCTGACCAGGGCACAGAAGTCGGCTGCTCCTTCTGCTGCAACTGAACTCTGGAATCCAGAATTGACCTGGAAGTCCCCATCAACAGTGAGGGGAAGAAATGGGTGGTTCAATACTGTTAACAGTACCTGATAAAGGAGAAAACAAGCAAAACTTGTTAGGGTGAGGATACCATGCAGAGATTGTGCTTAATATACAACTGCAAGATAGAGCCAGAGAGAATTTGGGAAGTTTCTGTGGAATAAATTTAGCTTACTAAGGTTGGATTCCCTACCATTTTAAGCATAAAGAGGGTCCTACTTCTAAATGTGGGGCATGGCTGCCCTAAAAAAGCAACCAAGGACCCTTCTGGACAATAGGATGGCAGTGAGGTAGCTATGCTCATCTGAAGGAGCTGACCTGCTCCTTCAGATGAGCATAGCTACAGCAGGTCAGTTTGGTTCTGGGACGTTGTGGGATTCTTTCCCAAATTACCTTGTCTTGAAAGGAAGGGCTGTGTGCTAGAAGGCACTGCTTTCTTTCTAACCCACCTGTCTCTTTCCATACAGTTTGAATAGATCTCAGTGGAATGTTTGCCACTTGCCCTTTCCAGACACACTATTGCAACCCCAGACTAATTCTAACTTTTGAACTTTCGGACTGAAATTCGGACTTTAACATAGATTTGGTTGTCTCTTTTAACACCCACATTTATTTTGCTTGCTGAATGTAAACCCCTTCCCACAATAGAACCTTTCTTGCTTGTCTGGGGAAGGGGTCTCAAAATAATTCCCAGGTCTACTGCCGTTTGTATAGGAAAGGAAGAAAATGCTGATGTGAGAAGACATAGTGATGCAGCATGTTCAGTAAAAGGCATAGTTCCTTGCACTTCCCAAATGAATTATTAGCAGGTTGTGGTGCAGACAGTGGTAAAATCTAAGGATCTTAACTAACTACTAAAATATTCCCATTTTAGCTAGAATTTTATAATCTTTTTAGGTTTCCATCCCACTTAAATTAATATTTCCTTCTATCCAAATTAACCAAACACAATCCCCAGCTCTGAAACGGTGCACACCTTCAACTAGATTTAGAGCCACTATGTAGTGGCTGATCATCCCCAAGAAAGAATATATTCCTCAATGCCAATCATCTCTGTAAGCAACACTGCACTTTAGCATCATGGACTACCACAACTGAGACTTTGCTCTGATGCCCACCCAATGCTAGCTGATGTGCAGGACTCTTAGATGAAGGGATCCAATTTCTCTTCTATGCTGTAAAGCAATTGTGGAGCAATCAGACCATAAGAAGGCCTTGTGATTCCCATGCTTTAAGATTTCTCTCAGGGGACTTCTCTTTTCTTCGTGGCAGCAATAAATCTTCTAGTCCTTTGAGATGAACACTCCTGCTTGGGCTCTTGGCCTTTTTTGCAGTCTGAGGCAGCATGGGCTGCTGGTTATAGTACAGGCCAGCATGATTACCTTGTGCTTATCTCACAGTTAGGTGGGCTACTTAAGACTACCTTTCTGGTCCTTGCCAAAGACACGCTTCATGTCTTCTTGTCAGACATCTAGCTTTCAGCCTGATTTTCTTTCTCTAATTTTAACCTGACGGCATGTGCGCTCCTCTGTACTTTGATACTGGACCACATAGACATCTGGGTGTGTATGTGCATGTATGGGCAGATGTGGGGAAGAGAGGCAGCAATCCTATATCCATGTGGCAAACATACTGACCTAGTTAAGATTTTGGGGCAGCCAATAATGTAGCTATGAGTTCCTGCTGTGTGGATCCTTTTCCTGAAAACACCAGAGTATCACACCTTCAGAATCTGCCAGTCAAAACGCATGCACCTTGGATCCTTGGCACTAATGTCTACCTGCAAAAACATGGCTAGAGTGGTAGTGTGCCCACAAATCTATCCAACGGGATTTTAAAATAGATTCATATTATGGAAGCCTAAATCTTCCAAGTAGCCTCCCGTTCTAGTCTTGCTTTCAGTTATTTGAAGATGAATCACTATCACAAATGATAAACTTCTTCCCAATATCACTTCCTGGCAAGGGACGATTCCCCGAAATTAATGAAGGGATTGTCTCTAATGACACTCCTTTTTCTTTTTTTTAACAGACCAAGCTAACCCTGTAGAGCTTTGAACAGAGACTCCTGTCCAGAAGGCCATTCTTGTCTCTATCTCATTAACCTAAAACTCTTTTGTCAGGGTGAAGCTAAAACAAACTCGCCCCACCCCTACCTTTTAATTGTTCTGTGTGGGGTGATGCTTTTTAATAGAAAGTCAGAATGATGCAAAGGTTGTTTTTTTAAAAAAAGAAAAAAATGGGCTGCTTCAATACTTACCACCTGGCCTTTGTCTTATGATCCTTGGGTTGGAGGATGCTTTCCTGGTAGGTCCTCGTGCTGAATGTATTCTCAGTGACCTCATAATAAATTAAGACAAATGCTGGAGGGTGTCATCCTATAGTATGCAAGTTTTCCTGCGATAACAAAGTGCTGTGGCAAGCTAGATGTCAAGGGGCAGAAGTGAAACTTTTCTTCCTTGCTGTCAACAAACCATTTTTCAACCTTGGCTGTAGGTAGGTAGGTGAGGAAGAAAAGCAGAGGGTAAAGATACAGGCCAGGGCTTTTTCTCAGAACAGTGCTCTGTAATGTTAGCCAGCTTCTGTTTGTTTGTTTAAAAGCAGGAAGCTGAAAATTTTGAGTTTTTAGCCTGCCTGGCTGCCATAAATGCTGAATAAATACTTTTGTTGGAGTTTTAACCATTTCTTCAGAAGGAACACCCTGTTTCTCAAATTAAGCCAAAAGAACCCAGAAAGATTTTTTAAAATGTCAAATGGTTTCTCTGTAGGGCTGCTGCTTAAAAAACTATTTATGTTTATGGCCATCTCCCTTTAGATTGGAACCTTGAAGTGGGATGAATCTATTTGTACAGGTTATACTCCAGTGACACCCAGGTTTACCTTCCTTTCCCCTTCTTCCTTCCCACATGCTGAAGGGAATGAGAATTTCTCTTAAAATCTAATTGTAAAAGGGGATGAAATTGTGGTTGCCTTTCCCAAGGCATCTCTTTGGATCTCTGTTAACAAACACATCCTGAAAATGCACATGACCTAATTTCCATTTTTATTTATTTATTTATTTTGGTTGGCTAAAAACAATGAGTCATCGATAGCACTCGAGCAAGGGACTTTATTTTCGTTTGCTCTCAAAGGAAAAATGGAAAAAAATGAACAACATTTAAAAGACGAACTTATGATAATTAAACATTTTAGCATTAGTTCGAGTTTTAATTGTTTAATGATTTAGAAATTAGTTTAGGATTTCTTGATTTTTTGACAATAAATGTGTTCACTTGTGTTTTGTAAGAGTCTGTGGCAGCTTCTGTTTGCGATAAAATGAGAAAAAGAACAAAAAAAACTGGCACCATTAACTCTTGTATCTTTTTGCGAATTTTAGCTTCTTGTAGTTTTAACTTATTGTTAACTTAAATATTTATTACTGCCTTGTAAGAATACATTTGTGTATATTTATGTTCTCATCAGAGTTGCAAGTTAAAAGGGAAATATTTTTAATTTGCTGAAAATAATTATTCCTTATTTATTTATTAAATAACAAACAAAATTGAAACAATACTAAAAGCTTAAATGACAGGCTCTCCACCAGGGCAAAGTGCACAGAGGTAAACATTTTAAAAACAATCTACTAATGTGGCATATACAGCAAAATCTATAGACAAGTTTGTTTTGTTGTCTTGTTGGAAAAAAACACATTTTGAGTTCATTCTATTAGAAGGTTATGGGGTGGGTGGGAAGGGAACGTGTAGCTTGTCATTTTTTCTATTCTTGTATTCTGTACCCTCTGGCCTTCACATGCTGCCACTCAGCATCCCTCCCACATGTTAACAGCAATTATTTCAGTGACAATTTGCTTTTTTATTTTAAATATTTTAAGTAAGCATCACAGGCAACTGATTTTTTTTTTAATGTAAAGGACATTCCTAACCTTTTCTGGCTCTGATTCACTGAGATCCTTAAGCACAAAGGGAAATTTGTTTTGGTTAGATGACATGGATAGCACCTTGTGTTAAATTTTGTAGATATTTACCTGGGGAAAAGTCCTATTGAATTCACAATACTTTGCATATGAAGAGTAGAACTGAAACAATTTTAAACATGCATTTCCTCCTTATGGATAATGTAGTAAGTGATTTTTCAAATACTAGGCCACTCATTAAGGGTACTTGAAGCATACAAACAGTTCTTAGCTGCCATGTATGGTCCCTATTATTGGAATCAATGCAACTGTTTTGCTAAAGTCCCAGGTAACAATTTGAGAAAAGAGTTACACTAAATTATTCTGAACAAAGAGAAACACATTGAAAATCAATCTTTCCAGCTTATTTTGATTTCTTCCCTGCCACATGGATGATTTAGAATCATGCAATAATTAAGGGGGTGGGAACCCCAGGCATGGAAAAGACCCCTTTGGGCATCTGCTTTATGTGCAGGAAATGGGGCATGTGGCCAAAGTAGTCAAGGTCTCATATGTTTCCAAGGCAAAGAGAATCTGTATCAGTCCAGATTTTGAAAAAAAGTGCAAAAGGCCTTGGAAGCCATGCTATATTTTTTCTAAACGGATGATGTCCGTGATTTAAAGATAATCCTCTAACAAAAAAAAATAGACCAAAAATAGATTGTCTAACTTTGTACCATATTCTTATCAACACTGAGATTTACTGAGAAACTATTCCATTCTAAAGGGTTATGTGGCTTGAGGAAAAAACTTTTCTTTCCTGTAAACAGTGTTCCAATAGTTAAAAGTAGATTTCCTAATTGCTGAAATAAAAAAAAAGTTGGATGTTTACCCCCATTAAAACAGATTTGAAAGTTTGCATAATAAAGCCCTCAAAACAAAGGATACAATATCATATTCCTTGTTTTTAACTAGAAAGTGGGCTGTAAGAATGCATTTTTCTCCTCCATTTAGTCAGTTTCATGGCTGATTAAAAACATATTTACTAATAGTTATTTCTTACAACTAAACCACTTCAGTCTTCTGGAGAACTCAACTCAGAATTCAGTTAAAGACCACTTATTCGACTTTTCAGCCAAATGACAGGATTGTTAGTATGTCTGAATCAGATGGGTTACTGTTAAAAGTATTATTTGACAAAGCCACTTACAAATGCTGGCTTCTGCAAATCCTAAATTGTGGCTGCTTTGCATTCAGATAGGACAGAAAAGCTAATGGTTTGGTTAAAGAAATAATTGGCACTCTGGAAACTTACTGTGCCCCCAAACATAAGCCACCACCTTTTGAAGCCGCTGCGCTGCTCCACAAAAGGCAGAGGTGCAGAACAGCCCTTCCTGCAGATGTTGGACACTCCCACTATCCTTGATACAGTAGTTGGTCAGGCTGTCAAGAATTCATCTGGAAGCTCAATTCCTGCCCAGGCTCTGCAGCCATACAATGTGTTGAATAGGCTCGGGCATGCTCTCCACTTAGTGAGAAATGGCCATAGCTGATTCATGGCACGTGTTCTAATTAGCGCATGTGCAGAAATGCTAGTCACTGTTTAGCATGAAATCTGCTGTGCCATATAGATAGCAAACACAGACCTGCTTTATGTTATCATAATGCCAATTTTTAATGTGTAACAATGGAAACCTTTTTGCTTTTCATCTGGACAACAGACTACTGAAGAATGGCACATAAAACAGGTGCTGCATAGCAGGGGGTACTTTACAAAAGGATTTTTATTATAAAAATGTGCATTACAACCATAACTGCGTTCTCATTCAAGAAAGGATAGTGTTTCTCAGTGTACCTCAAGCAATAGCCATTTATGCAACTAACCAGACTCAGAAGGGAATGGCTAAGACTAATCCTCTATGTCTGGTGCCTTAGAGATGATCAGAATAGGAACGGTCGCCTCTTTTAAGACTTGGCACAAATGAGGCATGGTATTTTCGGGTTGTTCTCAAAAATAACATCACAGCAGTAGAGCACTTGCCTTGTCCCCATTTTTCAAGATGCCTCAATACCTAAGGCTAGACCTTGAAAACAAGGAAGATGTGAAATGGATATTGACATAAACAAAACACAGCCTTTTAAAGATTTCTTTGCCATCCCTTGAAATTACTTCTGTGCTTAAAGAGCTGTTATGAACTGGAGCCACCAAGTCAAGCTGCATAACTGGCATTCACAGCTACTAATAGCAGGAGCTTTGCCACCAGTTTCAGCTGCGTGAACCGCCTGCTTTGCCTTTGGTCAGATCCTACTAAATGTCTAATCCTGTAACTTTATCCTGCATTGCAACAAGGGCATTTAGTGGCAAACAAAATTCTCTTTTAGGATCTGTTGATTACCAAACAGCTACAGCAATCTAGCCTTTTCAAGTGTATTTTTTCAAGTAGCAATAAGTGCTAGTGTAAGTTTACTAAGAAGTGAAGTGGCTTGATTAAGGATTGAAAGAGGGCAGGGAGGAAATTAAAGCACTTTGCCTGGTGGCATCAGAGCAAGAAGGGCTCGAGATGTCCTTACTGTTTGCCAGTGGTGGGTCAGGGTGCAACATTGAAGGTAGCAGAGGGTTAAAAGAATTGTCTGTTGTCATGGAGAGTTCCTAATAACTTTTACATGCCCCTTAGCCTCCCACCAATGTATTTAGTCATGGGGTATGGCAGGGCTCAGGGGAGAAAAGGATAGGTCTGGAGTACCTGCCCCCAGAGCTCCTTGAAGCTTCACATGGATTGGGACAGTTTTTAAAAATATATTTAAAAAAAATGAGAGTCAGTTGATGTGGGAAAGGTTTAAAAATTGTAAAAAATAAAAATAAAAATGACACTTTGCATTTAGTTTAGACTATTTATTACTGGGATTTCAGGCACGGTGGCTGTATGAAACTTTTACATGGAATTGTTTAATTATTTGTACTTTTCATGCCAGAAAATAAAAAGTTCAGAATCTTATGAGAGTCTGTGTCTTGTATTGAAGAGAATTCCAGGAACCTCCATGGATTTGTACTTCCAAACAGCACTGACTTGTGCAGATTGCCCCTTACTTTTACTTGGAACAGAAAAATAAATTGTGTGCTTTCTGGGGTTTACCCTCTACGCTTGAAGACTAACAACAAATAATGGCTTGCTTAATACACAGAACTACATCAGAGCCTGTGGTTACTCCAGGGCTGCAAATGTAAGCAGGTGTGGAAAAGTATCTACTATATCACAAACAGCAAACTTGGCTAAAATTTAAGACTGGTTCTCAGTCTGCGACTGTCTGGCTCCCCAGTCACAGCAATTCTGTTAACATTGCTTTCCTCTGAAATTTCTGCCTCAAGCTCCAAACTTTGCTACTTCGCTCATTTTTGCTATTAAATAATTTAGACCAAGGTTGCTATTTTATTCCAGATCAGAGTAGATTAGCAGATGTAATGCATCCTCAGAATTGAAAAGAGAAAAGGGTGGAGAAGGAGAAACATTGGCTGTCCCTGTTCTGCTCACTCTGCTCACTGAGAGGAAATTCAGGCATCCCATGATGCCTGGGATAGTACAGGCATCTTTTTAAGAGGGAAGCAAGGAGACCTGCTGGACATCAGTAAAGAGCATTCTTAAGGATGGAGCTCAAAAGTGCCAGTGTGGTTAAGGCATCAGGCTATAAACTGGGTGACTTAGTTCGAGTCTCACATTAGATACAAATCCAGCAGGGGTGATCCTGGGCTAGTCACTCAGTCTGAGAAAGCAGGCAAGGGCAGACACTTCCAAAATATTACCAAGAAATTTGCAGAGACTTGTCCAGGCAGCCACCAGGAATAAAGTCTGATTCAAAGGCACAAGAAAAAAATGTGCAAACTGATCAGTGAGTTTGGTGTATTATATAAAAACCACAACACTGAGTTAAATTCACAAATGAACTCATATACGTAAGTCATATCTAAACCTGCTGGTACCTTTCAGATATGTTACTTGCCTTGCTGGCTAGGGCAGAAAAAGGTTCAAAATATCTGGAGGACATCTAGTCGTCTGCCTTTTGACATTGTTTGACATCAGTTCTTTCAATTTAATGGCTGCCCTCCCCATTAGTAGGAAATGCCACATAACCTAAGAAATGACAGAGCATTTTCCTCACCCAAATATCATCCAATATGCTCAAAGTAAAACAGAATTTCCTTCCTTTCCAACCCACTATTCCAGCAGAGATCTGAAGGCATATAGTAAAATGTAATCCTCATCACCAGAGGGCCTTTTGTGAGAAGGCTGCCTGCCTCCTCCCCCCACCCCTTCCCCATCCAGTCCCAGAAAGCAGCAGATGCTTTTTTGAAGAAGGGTTCAGATGAAAAACAATGGAGCTGGGAGAGAAAGAGCCTCCGGTTTTGTTATGGAAATGGTTGGGCTTCGACAGCAATCAAGGAGAGCAGGTGAAAGGCACCAGCTTTTTCCTCTCCCCCCACCCCTCTTTATCAACAGAGGAAGCCCAGAAGAGCTGGGGAGGTCTTCATCCCCAAGGCCCTGGGGGTGGGCGGAGAAGAGGCTGGTCTGTGGCTGCAACCCATGTCCCCAGTCCCCATTAATGCTTTTAGGCAATTTCAGGGGAGGGAGAGGCAATGTGTTTGTACAGCTGATACCAGCTGGCCTAAACAGGGCCTGCTTAGGCCATAGCTCTTTAATGTAACCCAGCTCACCTCCCACCTTCAATTTCACAGAAAAAGACAAGACAGAAAGGACTCTTTTTTTATTGGATGGGAATGTGGGTTTTTTTTTTCCAGGAAAAACAGCAGATAAAAAACAGGTGGTGATTTTTGTCCCTTCTTCTTGTTTCACCTGTCCAAAGTTTCAGACTCAGTGGAAAAATCACTACTGAGTGATTTTTAGAAAAAGGCCAGCAGGGAAAAGCTTCAGGTAGACAGTTTTGAGGTCTCTCCACTATGAATAAGAAGTAAATGCATCTCCTTCTTCACAAAAGCATCAAATTTTGGAGTGGAGGAAGCCTTCTGCCAGCAGAAAAAAGGCCCAGGTAGTTGTGCAATCCTAAGTGGACGTGTTTAGGGCAGACAATATTTGGTCACAACTGGAAAAAGACTTGTGTCCCAGTAGCTGACAGGAAAAATGAAAGTTCAAGCCTCAAAGTCCACTGGGCAAGAGTAACAATAACTGTTGGAATTCATGAAGAGCACATCTTGAGGCAAACCGTGTGGTGAATTTTATAAAATTGCCTGGAATCATATGAATTAGAATCTGGCTTCTCTGGCAGGGATGATTGTACACAGCTGCAAGAAAGTGGTACACAGGAGAATGAGTCAGGAAGACAAAGATGGAAACAACAACAATCCTTCTTTAATACAATATTTGAACTGAAGGGCTTAATATTGAAAGGTGACATTCACCCAAATGCCCTTGAAGGAAGATGAATATTATTTGAAACATGTTTGTCCTTTCATGATTCCTCCCAGCTGTTAAGCAAAGAATATGAGTCTAAGCTGATACAACTCACCTGTCTCAGAGCTCATCGTGGCCGAGATCTTTTGGCTCATGGCAAGCTGCTGGGGTAACAAACTCCATTGAATACTCACAGCGGCTGGGCTCTGTTGTGGATGTGATAATTGTCTCCTTGCCACATGAAAGTTTCACCTTAGTAGGAGAAAAATCAGAGCAAATGCCATTGCCTTACTGTAATTGAAGCCAGCAATTAAAGGAGAGAATGACTCCCTAGTTATACCACAAGATACTACAGACAGTATAAGTAATGAGAGCTGGTTGGGTATCTTTGGGCCAGTCATTCTAACTCAGCCCAACTCACCGCACAGGGTTGTTGTTATGGAGAAAAAAGGAGGATGAAGGAGTATTGGGTATGCTTGCCGCCATGAGTTGTATATAGTAAAGATGAGATAAAAATTTAAATAAGTAAACTAGCCTCACACTATCAGCACACATTTGAAATTAAATTTAAGATTCCACTTGAAGCACCCACAACATCTGAAGGCAAGCTGTTCCACTGGTTAATTGTTCTCATTGTTAGGAAATTTCTCCTTAATTCCAGGTTGCTCCTCTCCTTGATTAGTTTCCATCCATTGTTTCTTGTCCTGCCCTCTGATGCCTTGGAAAATAAGCTGACCCCCCCCTCTTATTTGTAGCAGTCCCCCAAATACTGGAATACTACTATCATGTCACCCCCTTGTCCTTCTTTTCTCTAGACCAGCCAAAACCAAATCCTCCAACTGTTTTTCATATGTTTTTGTCTCCAGGCCTTCAATCATCTTAGTTCCTCTTCTTTGCACTTTTTCCAAAGTGTCAACATCTTTTTAGTAATGTAGTGACCAAAACTGGATGCAGTATTCCAGGTGTGGTCTTACTAAAGATTTATAAAGTGGTACTAATACTTCAGCTGATTTTGAATCTATGCCTCTATGTATACAACCAAGGATTGTATTAGCTTTTTTGGCTGCTGCTACATATTTGGCTCATATTTAGGTGATTGTCCACTAGGACTCCATTCTTATCAGTATAGTTCTTATTATTTCTTATACAGAAAAATTACTTGGTTCAAAATCTTCATCAAGCAATACTGAAAGGATGTAAAAAAGGTTCAGCTTTTCCAGCCTGCACCATTTCAGACATCAGGGGTTGTATGTTGGTTTGAAAATATGTCTTCAAAAGACCTCTCTGCTTGTCCATGAAGCAAAAAATAGCATGTGACAGAGATAACTGTGCTGAGTTTTGTCATGACGTGTTCTTTTTATGTTCTTAGCAAGGTGATATTCAGAACTTTATAAATGTACAAGTTCCATGTCCACCTCTTTACAACTCAAGATGAAAATTGCCCACTAAAAGAGGATTTGTCTCCCACATTCCAGCAGGCGAGGGATAAACCGCTGCAACACAGCACATAATCTATTAGCAAACAAGCAAAATTGCTGATTTCAGCTTTTGACAAAGAGAAAAATATATCTGTGCTGCACCAAACTGCTATGAAGGAAGGAGGAAGGGATAATCCCCAAGCAGGAGACCAGTCCAATCCAGAACTTCAAATAAAACTCCTAATCTGTTTAATTTTTCAATTACTAATGCAAGGAAGACATGCTCCCTACTTCCATCTTCACTGTCCAACCCTTCCAGCTGGTTTTCTGTATATCTGCCAGCCCAGACACAGTCACTCATTTTCCACCATGTTCCAGCAGCGTATTTAATGCTTACTTCACTGCAAGCGTACACAGTCCTTTCCTCTATCGGATCTGGAGATGACCTTTAATAGGCCCACTTGGAGGTACAACATTTGATGGAATTCAGAATTCTAAAGTCTATGAAAGTCAATATTCTTCCAAGACTACAACTATTTGCTTTCCATAAAGATTAGCTGTATCCATTTTGCCCCATTGAAAGAACTCACCGTTGTAGATCGATTGGGGCCCTGCCAACAGCCTGTGCCATGCTCATATTTCATGATGCTGAATTTGTTATCATCTGAACCAGCCCAGGATCCCCATGTACTAGAAAGAAAGAAAGGTAGTCAGTGCACCAATGAACTCTTGCCAACCTAATCCAGGAAGTTCAATGAAGAAAAGCATGCACAATTCATTTCAAAACCACCTTAAAGTCAGCCATTTCAAAGTCCAAAAGAAAATTTGGGATGCATATACACACTGTTCTTCCCTCTATCAAGAGAGGTCGGGTCATGAGAAACAACCTTTTAGAGATAGAAAAGCCTGAAGCTAAGTATTTTAAAAGTTTCACAACATGTTTAGTGAATGACTCTTTTTCAGTTTAAGGGAGAAGAATTTAATCCTGATACTACAGGTAATTCTCTTTTAGCAATCTTCCTTCAGCTTTCCTTTGCTTTACAGATCTGTAAAGATTGTAAATGCAAAGTTTGGTCACAAAGTTACTTTTTCACCACCATTGTTAACTGTGAATGGACACCGTTCAAGGCATTCACTAAATGAAGATTAGGGAAATGTTCTTAATACGCATACATA